AGAGACAGAGACAGAGACAGAGAGGCAGAGACAGAGACAGACACACATGGAGAAAAGAACATTTTACAAGCTCTTTGATAATCCCTCTGTCAACTGAATGGAAGATAATTTTTTATAAATCCAGGGCCTTAAAACTGTGCTACATCCCCACATTCCCTACCCGTTTTTAAGATAGTCTTACTAAGTGACTCAGACTAGGCTGCAAGCTTGTAATACTCCTGTCATTTCCTAAGGGTTCTAAGCACTGGCAATGAAGGCAATTTGCAACCATCAACCCAGGAATTAAACTAAAAAGAAAGAAAAAGTGAGAAGACACTTAAATAAGATGCAACCACAGACATTCAGTTCAGCAAAAACAAACCCAGGGGGCAATAAGGTGAGACAATCTGAAAGGCACCCACCTCACCTCTCTGAAATGGTAACATGAAAGCAAATGAATGAGGCTCTAGGAAAGTCAAGTCAAAAGTAATTGGTCAGAAGAGGTGAGGTAGCTCAGCAGTTTATGCACCTGCATGGCAAGTGCAAGGTCCTGAGTTTGATCTGTGGTGCCAGAAAATGAAAAGAAAAAAAGTTGCTCAGATAAATTACTGAGATTTACAGATATGATGTTTACAATGAAAATATGCTTAGTGACTCTAGAGCAGATACAGTTAAAAAAAATCAGAGGAGCTTAAGAAAATTGTGGAAGCCATCAAGGTTCAGCATAGGAAATAAATAGAATCCATAAGGCATATCAAAGCAGATATCCAGGAGAATAAAAAAAAAAAACCATTTAAAGTATCCACAGCAGAATGAACCAATGTGAGAACAGAATTTCAGATATAAAAGACAGACTTTTGGTTAGTAATGATGAAAAGAAAGCTTTCTTCAGTAGCAAGGGACCATAAAAATGAAGCCAGCACCAGCTAGGTGATGCAAATAACAATATAAGAGGCCTGTGAGATAGCTTAGTGGCATAAGCACCTGCATAAGACTAACTGGAGTCAATGAAAAAGCAAGAGATAGCACAAATAACTTTTTAAATTTAATTAAATTAATTAATTTATTTATTTTGTGAGACCAGGGATTGAACTCAGGCCCTTGTGCTTGCCAGGCAAGTGCTTATCCTACTGAGCTATCTCCCCGGCTCCTCAAATAGCATTCTTAAAAACAATTCACAGACATTATGGCAGCAAACTTCCCTGCCAGGGAACTGTATTTTACATACAGTTGAGCATACAGAACTCCAATTAGCCATGATTAAAAATCTAGACATATCATAATCAAGACTCCAGAAATTCAACACAGAAACAAATTCTTAAAAGTGGTTGGAATGAAAGCACAAGGTCCTGAGTTCAATCCTTTGTACCTAAAAAAAAAAAAAAAAAAAAGTTGGAAGGAGCCAGGGATATAGCTTAGTGGAGTAAGTATTTGCCTGGCAAGCATAAGGTGATCCCCAGTACAAAAACAAAAACAAAAACAAAAACAACCCCAAAAAACAAAAAAAGTTTTGGAAAGAAACAAATTGCCTAAAAAAGAAAGCCCATCAGAATCACAGCTGACTTCTCAACACAAACCTTTAAGGACAGTCTGTAGTGAAGTATTTTAAGCTCCAAGGAAAACCAGATTCATGTAACCTACAAAAATATCTTTCAAAAATGATGGAGAAATAAGATACTTTCATGAGGGGCTGGTAAGATGGCTCAGTGGTCTAAAGTACCTACTTAGAACAAGCTTAGCAAAGCACAGGGACCTCGGTTCAATCCCCCAGCACCACATGCCAGCCAGCCCCGCCCCCTGGTGGGCTGAGCTGGCCACACACACATACACACACA